GCGGTGGCCAGGGGTGTCCCGCCTTGTTATCGATAGTGGAGTCGACCGTGAGGTCGGTAATGGGATCGCTCGAGTGGGATGGATAGTGAGATCAAAAGTGATGAAAAGTGAGATCGGCAGTGAGGTTGATTGTAACAACGGTTTTGACATAGAAAACGGGGACGATAGTGACATTACATCGCAGCGCAACATCGTCATCGCGCGTCGTCGCTGACTCGAGGGCGCGTCACCGGCATCGTCATCATCGCACCCATCGCATTTGCCAGCAGTTGGTTCCCCCCCCCACCCCCCGACCTCCTTAGCACCCGATGGGTGGTCGTATAGGTATCGGCATCCGATCGGAGCATCACCGACAAACAATCTGGACGTTTCGTGCCATAGGATATAGATCGTTGCGCCATCTGGACAACCAAGTTGGGCATTCCACCTTGCCAGAGATGCCCTAAACAGACTGAGCGTATTGGCGCGAGAAGCGAACCACGAGCCACGAATCACGATCCAGCAGCAAAACGACTGGGGAGCTCCACGGCACGGGCCGCGAACCAGTCGCTGGGAGTGAGCCGCGAGCTACGAGGTTCGCACCGCGCATCACGCGCCGCGCACCGTCGACCGCGAATCTTTCGCTACGCACCGTGACCCGCGAACACCGAATCGAACGCCTGGGCCCACGACCCGCTAACCTTAAGTCGGGCCTGTCCCCCTACAGGGGGATTTTCGACAAAAAATAAAAACACCCCCAAAATAGTCAAGAAATAGTTCAGAAATAGTCCAGGGATTATGTTTTGAGTATTTTTTTTTTTTTTTTTTTTTTTTTTTTTTTTTTCTTTTTTCTTTTTTTAAAATTTTTCGTCGAAAATCCCCCCTGTAGGGGCACACGCTCGACATAACGCTAACCGTGACCGCCACCGAGGAAACAGGCACCACGAATCACGCGCCACGAACCAGTCGGACGCCACACCACGAACACATAAAACACCTGACCATGAATATCGAGCCACGAAACACGTATCATGTGCCACGCAACAGGAGTCACTGACTACGCGCCACGCACCAGGAGGTGCGAACCACGCACCACGAAACACGCACTGCGCAACGTAACAACGAAACGTGCACCACGAAACACGGTCTACGAATCGCGCATCACGAAGTAAGGAGCGCAAGCCACGATTTGAGAATCGTGCACCGCTGAAGAGCAAATCCAGCGCACCACTATGGGCATTATGCAGTGGAGAACGCAGGCAACCTTCACTGCTTAGCCGACCGCCAGGACGCCGTCAATCTAGAATCATTGTATCGTTGGCGCACCGTCGGGACACCACTGGCACAATGTCGAAACACCACGACACGTCTACCCCTTTGACGTGCCTGCTTGCCGCCCACCAGCAGATGGGCGAAGGCGCAGGGCACGACGCCAGCTGAGGCTCATGGGGTTTCGTTCACAGGATCGCGCGCGATTCTCTCACGACCGACGCGAAACGCGGAACGACAACCCAGATGCTCGCGGCAAGTTCAACCACCGTGCCAGTGCCGTATTCGGTCTGGCGATTTTTGGAGTACCGCCCAGAAGGCCGAAATGCGTGACATTTCTCTTCCCCAGGGTCCACGGCCGTAACATGCGACGCCCTATTCCTGAAGTTCAACAGCACCATAACTTGCGGTGGTGCTTTCTTGGTTGCTTTTTGCAGGGCCCAGGGGGCCGCTAGGAGCTGTGACATTTGGCGGCTTTCTTCCTCAATTCCGAGAGGGCCGTAACGTGTGATAGGTTGTTCTCCCTGGAGGAACACCGTGACACCTCATACCCTCATGGATTTGAAGGCCGACACGGGTGACGTTACGGGTTTGGGGCCTTTCAGGAGCTTGCTTGAAGGGGAGGCTCTTTGGGCCTCTTGGGAGCATGCTCGCGGATACCAGAGCTGCAGAATGACGCTCTTGGAGCTGGGGCGATTCACGCTCTTCCAGTTGCAAGGTTCATGCGCGGTGGAAGCCAGAGCTTCCGCAGATGTGTGTGCGTTTGTGTGTGTGTGTGTGTGTGTGTGTGTGTGCGTTTGTGTGTGTGTGTGTGTTTGTGCGTGTGTGCGTGCGTGCGTGCGTGTTTTGACACTTAGGAACGCGCGGCGCATCGGAGTTCAGAGTGCGAGCGCTGGTCCCGCATGGCGAAGGCCCTTCCACGATTTTGCGACCCCCCTTCCTGATGTGTCCTGTCCCTCTGTCCCGTCCTGCCCTGTCTTGTCCTGCAGGGTCCACCTCGATCCAATCGATCCGATTCGATATCGGCTCAGGCCGGCACGATTCGATTCGATTCCGATTTTCGGGCGATCCGATGCGGCCAGATGCCTGCATGGCGCTCTTATGCATCTTGGCGCCGCCGATTCGATCCGATTTCGACTCCGAGCCGTTGCGGTCCGATACGACGCACATTTCGATTCGGTCCGATTTCCCGATTCGATGTTGATAGATCCTGTCCTTCAGGAGGGTGAAAAGACTCAGACACAAACAAACGTCGATGTCCACGAAACATGGGAAAAGCATGGGAAACGGAGGGAGGGGAAGACGAAAAGTTAGAAAATGAAACAGGTTGGGGATCCTGGAATTTCTGTGTTTTTCTTTTGAGGAGAAAACAAACGCCATGAATATAATCTTTTGGCGCTCCGCGCGGATTTCTTGGATCTGCGCTGGGGCTAGATCCAATAAGTCCGCGCGGACCGTCGAAAGTTTATGTTTGTGGCGTTCCCTCTCCTTCTACAGTCGGGGCCCTGAAGAAGGAG